TACCTCTCTGTGTAATTCAAGGCGCGCTACGCGGAGGCCGGAGACGGTAGCCTGTGGTAGCTGAAAATCAAGGCTCACCACGGGAACGGAGGAAACCTGACCACACCCGGCGGCTAAAATAACCTAAGATAAAATATGGTTACTGACTAGATGAAAGTAGAAAGTCTGTGCGGAAATTATTTGCCGTATAAATACTAGCTTAAGACCCAGGCGCGTGCTTCGCCGCCATTCTGCAACTGCATGACATAGCTACGAGGGCTTCGGTGCATCAATGAATTCCTTAGTGTTTCCAAGTGTTCTCTATTAGGCGCATTGGCTTAAAAATTTCATGTTTAAGTCACTTACAGGGCCCTTCAAAGTGGGAGTGCATCTGGGCTCAATTCGACCCACATCCCAGACGAGGGTTTTCGAAACCGGATCGAAGGTGGACTTTCCTTGACTGGGCGTGACGCTGACATTCGACACTTCAACTGGCAGAACTGCAGTAACTTTCACTTGTTCAAGCTGCGCAAAATAACAAGAAATGGAGCCAGTTAAACATAAGAAACTTCTAAGAACGGCTGAAAAAATGGCAGATGTATCGTCGATAGCTTCATGCACGGAGTAAAAATGCTACCCTGGCACTTCCGAATATGCCAACGGGCAAATAATGGACAAAATACCCAAATGGACTCGAGCACAAAGTACAGGAATGGATAATAACGGCACATAACCACAAGGAAGTCCTAGGATAAGGCAAGATTCCCATAAGGGGCAACGGGCGTAAATAATTGTATTTACTGATCACTCATGGGTTCGAAATGTACAAATCTTATCAGAAGAAGAGAACGTATAAATCAGTTTGCGTTTAACGTCGATAAAGACCGACCCAGTTGCTAACATCTTCACAATATCTCGAAAACTGCTTTAGGTTTGTTTACTCGTTGCCCGAAATCAAGTCAGTTTTCGTTCTTGTAGTAGGTATCTCAAGTATAAACTCGATTATTAGTGCAAGCAATCGTCTCAGCGTTTGGGAGACACAGTAATTGACAACAAAATGAATAAAACGTCGTCGCAGTTACTTCTCCCCACCCTCTTGATAATGACGTCACGACGTAATCGTAGATAGGGTCATGACGCATTGGAAACGAATGTGTATAACCAGTTTTTTAGGAATAAAACGGTGAAAACAGTTGGCGCTGCATGCACGGTAGAAGATGAACAGTGCACTGCGACTTACCGGTTTACCTCCGGTAGATTTCGGAGTTACAGATATATCCAAACGACTGCCAGTTTCCTTCAGAATAATCGACTGTCGCAGAGATATAGGAAGAGCAAGCGGACTGGCAGTTTTGTATGAAATTAAAAACATATTCATTAAGTCACGAATCGCAAAATATAAAGAGGTCTGAATGAATTTTAAAAGATGGCGATAAAAGGTTATCGGTGTAAATGTTAATCGAGAATTTTAACTCAAGTCATGTTTATGGCCGCCAGCTGATAGAATTGGCACGTAACTCTGTTGGGAATTTGGTTGACCCAATTGTGAAAAACTCGCGGCCTCGGTGAGAGTCGAACCCACACAGCAGGAAAGACATTTGTGCAGCCAACGCTCTACCATTGAGCTACGAGGTTCACCTTGCGCTGTGAATTTAATCACGCTTGAATCGATTTTACCCGCCTAACTTACTGCTTGTATGGAATTCACCATTACAGAACAGTAAGCTGGCGGCCCAGGCAGGATTACCTAAGCATTCATCTAGAATACACCAGAATGACTACTTAGGAAATCCTGCCTGGGCCGTTAGCTTGCTGCTCCTTAATGGTGGATTCCATACAAACAGCTTACAAGATGTAGAATTCCTCCATAACATCTGTTTGCTCTACAACGATTTTGGCCCATAAGAAAGGTACTTAAAAACTCTATGAAAGCAGGAAAGCGAGACTGAGTGTTGTAGGTAGCTCTTTTAAGTGCTAAATACTTTCACAAAAACTGGACTGAACTTGTCCAACGCGGGCGATAATAGTGTCGGTAACGTAGGATATGTTATTCGACAGTCAGAATGCTACTATCTGAGTTCTTGACAGAAAAGGCAGTTGATAGTATAAGGACTGTCGGCACAACCTACGGTGGGTGACCTAACAGATAACATACGCGCAAATTAACGTAAGATCACTAACCAAAGTGAAACCAGTCCGAACGTATTCACTAATAACTAAAGACCTCCACACAGAGCGATCAAAAAAGGCAAGAAAAACTATATATCTAAGAGCCCTGTGTATGCATTAACTATCGGTCCACGACTATCTGTGTCTAATGGCACGGACCAAGTCAAATAATCGCATACGGCTGCGCTGCCGCTGTATGTTCGGTAGTCATGTAAGTCGTCGATAAGTCAGCCCGTACACCTACCTTTGGCCGCGGGAACAACAAAGGGACCAGATCAGAACACCACAGGATTTGTTGGGGATGCGCACCCAGAGCGAATTCCACACAAGCGGGGAGAGGTGTGGTAGCATGCTTGAGCACAGGCTCAAGCCGCGACAAGCACATACGCCCGAACCCAACTCCGGTTTTCTGGACTCTGTCTTGATATCAAATGAGAGTGCGGTGCAAGCCTACTATCATTATAAAGCAGTTCACGGGCAGGTTCTTGTTCCTATGCCAACCCTATTGGGGGACAC